CTGAAATAAGGTCTAAATGTGATTATCCCTGGCTTTCGGCGGAAGTCATAAGCCTTGCAAAGTCATGTGAGAAAAAAACGAGATCTCGTCCTTGATTCTCTGGCTTCCGAAGACACAAACGTTGATACTTCGTGCTCGCCTTATGTTTTTTTTTATTGTGAGCAATCTTCGATGGTGTTTCTTGATTCTTGCTCTTTTTGTGACTTCTATTTTTGGCATACGTCCTTTCTTCTGTTTTAAACCGTCATGAGACCAGATCGTTCATCGGGTTCCGATGGTGAAGACAGAATTCCGGCTAGCCAAAAGCTTGGACGCCATGTGCCTCACGTCCACCACTTCAGTGAAACCCACGGGCACGGGTATGGTGCTGACAAACCTAGAAACATGATCGGGGCGAACTGGGATTCGAACCCACAATCATAGGTTTCTGGCGTACCCAAGGGACGCAACTCTGCACAGCGAATCGCGGCGCCTCAGACGACTGGGCCACCCGTGCCCCCTCATCGCAAAAGAAGTGACAGTAACCCTAGAGGTTCTCCTTCCGGTAGCTCTTCATCCATGTAGTGACAGTAATTCGTCAGAATCGTCAGCTTCGGACGATTGTGAAACCAATAATCGTTATAATAGTACTCACAATCACCTTTATAAGCGGTTTAAGCCCACAGATAATAGGGCTGAACAGGAACTGTCTGACGAACTGCTAGATTATCCACATGAACATTTCAACCACTACATTAAAGATGAAGTTATCAACAAGAACATATTAGAGAGTTGTCCAACCCCAAAAGGATTTGTGCCAATGGAGTTTGATGAAAACTGGTCAGATATGCTAGAAGAGAAAAGGTTTACTGCAGCTAAATCTGTTGAAGTAGGGTTAAGTAAAATCCAATCAAGACTACTCATGTGATGGGACCACTTGGTCAGGTTTGGCAGACTGTGGATAAAGGTGGTGACGAGATTGATGTGAACGACTTTCTGAAATTAGTTGAAAATACTGTTTGTTTGTTGGGACAAGCCAACGTTGCCACTACCTTTTAGAGAAGACTGGACATTCTAACGAAGCTGATGAAAAGTCAGAAGAAAGCTCAGACATGTTTCTCCAAGAATGAGAAAAGATTCAGTGACAAGAAGGCCTTGTTTGGCAAAGATTTTTAATTGTTAAAACTGTCCAAGGACAGACAGAGAGGATTAGATATTGAGAGACAGTTTTCAGACTAGAAAAACAAGAGTCACTATGGCTTCAAGAGCTCTGCTAGAGGGTTTTACAGATGAAACACACCGGCCCTTTCACAGAGGGCCCTCGTCAGTTTACCAGGGTTACAGTGGTGGGGGTCGCTACAGTACCAACTAATGCCAGAAGATGCGACTTACCAACTCGACTAGAAAGCGAGACGGAGGTAGCAGAGGCAGAGGATCGTGCCTTGATTAGTGTTGCGTTGATACGTTCTGAGTTTGTTAGGAGACAAACTATCCTTTTGGTCTCAAAATATGTCAAGACATTCTGCATTACCCGCGAAAAGCTATATGCGTTGAAACGTTAACGTGAGGCAAAATTGTTTTCTACCCATATTTTCTGGAACAATTCATTAAAAAAGCACAGCCCCTGTCTGAATCTCGTCTATCTGGTGATGCAGGAACCCACTGTAAACTGTAATAAGAGTAACAGATGCATGTCTCATATAACGTTGGATGCAGTGAATCTGCTGTTGACGAGGTTTATGAGCTTTGTGACAAACTATGAATTGAAGATCTTAGTGCTAAAAGGGACCAAAATGCACTTTGGCGCTCTTTGCATATTATTGCATAAATAATATCTATGAGTTCTTGTATACCTGTAGACAATTTTTGTATGTTTTTAAAGATGCGTGTTTATAAGATAGCTACTTAAAATTCTATGAAACGGCCAAAGTCACTTTCGACCCTCACAAAAATTAAAAACGTAAGTTTCTTTTCTTTTTTGGTGTCCCCCGCTGTGATATCGCTGGAATATTGCTAAAAGTGGCGTAAAACCATACTCACTCACTCACTTTTTTAAATGTTTTATAACAACATTTATATCTCTGCTGTCAGAATGCGTTAATGTCTAGGAATTAAAAATTCAATAACAGGATATGGCTATATAACTTTTCTCAAAACAGACCCAACATGACATTGGCCCTTATGGCTCTGAGCTCTTCAATGATGATAAACGTTTTTGCATAATAAATTTGTGAACTCCAATCAACATTGACGATTCATAATAACAAGGCAATCGATTATGAGAAAACTAATTATGAGCTTATCCGTTTTAACAACCTCAGTAAACTGCTAAACCTAGGGTTCAATGACCACAAGAAACATCTCATCTGTTTCACATTTAGATATATGCATAAAGATTTAGGAAGACAAAACGATGTCCACAAGATGACTTCAACTTTCCAATAGTCAACTTTCCTTTTATGTAAAATAATAACCCAGCAGCTCCAGCTCCAAAGTCTGTATATTACAACTTTTGAGACCCGTGAAGATCCGGGTTAGAATAGGTCTTCAGCAACCCATGCTTGCCGTAAAAGGTAACTATGCTTGTCGTAAAAGGCGACTAACGGGATCGGGTGGTCAGGCTCGCTGACTTGGTTGATGCAGGTCATCGATCCCAATTGCGTGGATCGATGCTCATGATATCAATCACTGGATTGTCTGGTCTAGACTCGATTATTTACAGACCGCCGTGATATAGCTGGGATATTGCTGAGTGCGGCGTAAAACAAAACACCAACCAACCAACAACTTTTTGAAGTACAATCGAGCATGCTCTTTCTACGACGATTTCAAAGAGTCTTATGCCTCTTGCGCAAAGGTTTTTGATCAGGGTTTTAACATACAAGGCTTCAGTAAAGCTTTCGAAAAGTTTTCTGGTAGACATGTGGAGGACGTTTGACGCATGAGTGACAAAAATGATGCAATACATTATTTGGACTTGTACGATATATCCCTGTGTATTTTCAGGTGAACAATTATCTTGCATTGAAACACTTTTCTTTACTTATAAACACCAGATGCTTATTTCTTTACACAACAGACATAATTCGAATTTCAGATCATTTCACATTTCACTGAAATCACTATGTGCGGCGTCAGGTGACAATTAAACGTTGATTTATGCAATTTGTGAATGGCGGGTACTGCCGATAGTGCAGGATATGCCTACTCTTTTCACCAACTCTTGGTGTCAGTTTCAGTGATCCATTCATATCATTTTCACCGCTATTTTTCTTTTACGCCCAATGGAATCTGTTTCGGCAGCTGATCGATAGTGATTATTTTCTAGGGTTGACGTTGTATCTTTGCATGTGTTTGTGACTGATGCCACTGTTTGTACAGATTACGCTCTCCTTTTCGCTAACACCTAGCGTAACGGGTTGGGGATGGGGAGGTAGTCGTCAGGATGTTTACTGTCCCTTCCCTACCGTCAGTTTCAAAGAGAGATTGTTAAAACGGATTTAAAAGAAAACTATAACAAATAATAAACGTCAATTGAAATCTTTACTTCTAGCTGTTGTTATGATTCATGGCAGTTACAATTTCAATACATACATGAACTAACTGCAAGTCGTACTCTATTTTGACGCTTGTCAGTTTTGACCGTTAGATAATTAATTTCTACAAACTGTAGGTTTTGTTTATTTAATCTACTTGAAAAGAATAATTACTGTGTGCAAAGGCAGAGTCAATAATGCTGCATGGTAATTATTATAAAAACAGTAAAATACGTCTATACACGTCTATAAAATGTCTACTCTCGCGAAACTTGCTGGGCCAAAAACTACAACTTACGTTAAGTCTGTTATTTGGAACGAGATTATAATCATGGTGACGTCACTTCCGGAAATACATGTAGCAGAAGACGCCAAAAGGGAGAATCGAAGAATGCGATTAAACACCAAATATACGATGTAACAGTAATTTAGGATGGATGTAATCTACCCAATAATATGTCCAGGAAGGTGTTTACGTAAGTATTTTGGAATATATATTTTTACTTTAGCGGATTTAAAGCATGAAACAATCTCGGAATGAACTACACACCTTTGATCACGTAAGCGCCGATAGATCGCAGGACAATTTGAGTCGAACACTTGAGCTAACTATAGCTGTTAAATATTACGACGAAACGTTTAATTGATCTTATACCTACAATATACATAGTTTTTACACACAAGACGTGAATGTGATAATAATTAATCATTTCTTGGACAGCTATAAAAACTTCAAAACGATTTCGGAAACGTGGGCGAAAACCGAAGGTCTCGATCGTATACACCGAGCCTGAGTTTTACGCCTGGTATCACATATCACACATTTCATCCACAAGTTCAAAGTCAAAGGCACCCAAATAAAAACCAAAACCACAAAACAACAAGTTACCTGTTTTCGGGCGTGGGACAGATAATGCTCACCTTTTCGCTAACAACTTGTATAACATATTACATATTTTCATCCACGAGTTCAACGTCAAAGGCAATAAATTTAAAAAATAAGATAAAAATAAATAACAACGTACCTGTCGGTCATGTGAAACAATTTCAATGATTGTGCGAATAATGTCCAGGTATTGTAATTAGACCAATCTGAGGCTGTATCATGCCTTGTCCTTTGTATATTTTCCGTGAAAAATAATCAAGTGTATCTGTGTCTGTTTGGTGCTGGTGAAGATGGTAGCACATTAAGGTAAGCGACAAGATGATAAACACCAACACAAAATGATAGCAGAACTGAATACTATCAGGAGAATGTTGATAACTTAATCATTCTGGACCATTTAATTGCAGTTTGTTTTTATGTGGATTTAATTTGTTCATAAAATACTGGACACAAATTGTTCACTAAATGTGTTGTCTCTAAGTCCATGCTAGTCGGTCTCTTAGACCGTAGATAATAAATTACAAAATGAACCCAACCTAGAATGAATTGATAAGTCTAGCATTTCCCTGGTCTCCTTTTGGACTGCAAAGTATCCACAGAACATTCAATATATTTATTTAACTCAATTATTGTAACCATTCCATCTTCATTAAACGAAGTTGATGCAGTAAAGACTCGGTTTTACAAGTTCGTGTGACAGTTGGTATTTTGAAAATTGATATATTATAAGCGTATCTTTGATAAAGATAAATTGTCTGTTTGTAAGAGACATCAACACCAGCCTGGACTCCAGGCGCCGCCAAAGTATTTGGGGTTTGCGTTGGGAACGGGAGAACCGTCCTGCGATGGGACATGTGTCTTCTTCCAGTTCTCCAACCTCTTCTTCATCATGTCCACTAACTCGGGGTACTTCGCTGAAAGGTCGAAGTGTTCAGTTGGATCTGAAGTAATGTTGTATAGCATGAAGGGAGGGAATGTTTGGTTATCAGCTTGAGAGACGCCTTCATCAATTCCCAGATGTGGCAAAGGAGCCCAACCATTGTGATCTCCTGGATTTCCTTGCATGAGTTTGAGATCTCCGTACCGTATTGCAGCTGCTTCCCGCTCATCATAGATGTTGTAGACGAACTCATTCCGTTTGGTGGATCCGCCATTGATGAGCATGTCATACTGACTAACTCCGTCCATTTTGGGATCTGTGTTCTCTCCACCAGCCAGCTCCACCAAAGTCGGGTACCAGTCCACAGCATGCATCATTCCAGTGTTGAGGTAGCCTGTCTTCTTCAGAAGTGTTTTACTGTAGATGAAAGCCGTGCCTTTCGTTCCCCCTTCCCACAGAGTATTCTTGGCTCCTCGTAAAGGCAAGTTATTAGCAGCAACAAATGTAGGACCGCCATTATCGGTTGTAAAGACTAACAATAGATTGTCCATGAGGCCTTTGTCTTCTAAAGCCTTCGTAATGTTTCCCACAGCTTCGTCTAACGAACTCGCCATTCCACAATAGACCCTTCTGTTTAGATTTTCTATGTTCTTGTACAGGTTTTCATATTTTGAAGGAACTTCTAGAGGTATATGTACAGACTGGAATGGAAGGTATAGATAAAGTGGTTTACTATTGTCGTGGTTCTCGATGATTTCAACAGCTCTGTCCGTAAACACATTTGCAGAATAGGTTCCATTTGCGTTGCCATAGACAGTCTTATTGAAGTGAAAATCCAGGCCCACGTCACCTCCTCGATCCTGTGACATGTGAGTAAAATACTCTTCATCACCGGAGTAATAGCCAAGATAGGTATCAAAGCCTCTCTCTGTGGGTGTATATTTCCAGTTACAGAAGCCAAGATGCCACTTCCCAACCATGTGAGCATCATAGCCGAGTTGTTTCAGTCTTTGTGGTATAGTTGTTAGGTTGGCTGGCAAGAATCTCGCTGCGTCTACCGGAATACCGCTGTCTTGTAGTCCAGTGTGATAGGGGAAATATCCTGACATGAAGCAGCTTCTGGAGGGCGAGCACATAGGCTGAACGTATGAAGAGTTGAGGACGACTCCAGCTTTGGCCAGTCTGTCCAGGTTAGGGGTGATCATTTGAGGGTTCCGAAATCCAACATCGTTCCAGCCGAGGTCATCAGCGACTATAAATATAATGTGAGGTTTCTCTGCACACTCACAGATAACAAAAGTCAGAACAATAAGGACAGCTCCTCCGAGACTCATTTTGCTTCTGCTCAATGTCGTACATTGTGCTTCTTTATAAAGGTTTCCAATAGATAACGCGCATCGTGACAAGCCCAAAGCTTGCATTCTTTCTGTGTGATTACCAGCTAGATAGTCCCTTTGTCGAGATATATGCCACAAAATCAGTGCAAATGTTGCGAAAATAAATGAATTCACAATACCTATAAGTAAAACCATTGATCCACTAATACATCGCATCATTTAAGCTAGCATGTTTTGACAAAATCGGAGGAATTACAAAATGCCCCTTTCAGACAAGTGGCTAAACAACATATGTGTAATTATATGTATTTCATTTATATTTTAACAAACACTCCTTTGCGTACACGAGCCTTTTATTGCACAGCTGTATAAAATCTTGAAATGTTTGACTCTATGCATTGTTCTCACTGTTTGTCCATGTGTCATGTGACCATGATATAAATAAGTAGTTCAAAAGTAATAAGAGATGTAGCTAAATAAATAAATAAATAAATAAATGAATGCCTTTGTATTACTATTTCAGTTATGTGTGTTCATTTCTCAGAATGCGATGGTTGATAAATTGTGAAATGAATTCTGCATTTCAAAATGATGAAAGATGTATATCCTGTTATATCAAAATTTCCTTTTCATTAAGCCGCATACTGAGATATTTTGATATGTTACCTGATTGTACGCATATTATGTCCCCCGCACGTTTTCACTGCTTAATTGGATCGTGCGGTGAGGCTCCATTACTTTCCTTATTGCGTGTCATCGTATCGGGATGGCCTGGATCCTTCTTCATGCTCACTGATTTGGCTGCTCCATATTCACATATTTACAGACCTGTGATGAAGCATTATTAAGCTAGCATGGTTTGACAAAATCGGAGGAAATGAAAAATTCCCTTTTCAGACAAGTGGCTGAACAACATATGTGTAGGCATATGTATTTCATTTATATTTTAATAAACACTCTTTAAATGTTTGACTGTATGCATTATGCCCGTGCCCCCTCCCTGAGTTATGAAGCAGGAATATTTCTGACTGGGTTAAAGAGCCTTTTCTCAATCACTCTCTCATTTCACTCATATATCTACGTTGATGCTTCAGAGAAGATTTGTTTTACAGACGGATTAAATCTCATTGTTTCTGGATATCCAGAACGTCAGGCGAACAAGTTTGTGTTTTAAAACTGAGATAAAAATATTGAATTTTTTATTATCCCAGACCATATCTGCATGTGAAATATCTGGTTATCCATAAGCCAGAATGTTTTTGTCGTTTATATTTTTATCCTGATTAAGCGTTCAATGTCATTTGCTTCAAGACATTCAGGACATTGGGGATGTTTGTGTTTGTTTGAAGCTTAAAGCAAAATTATTTCTTGCCGTATTTTCTAGTACAATTTCACTTGTAAATATCCCAGACCATTTCTTAATCAAACCTATCTGATTATACAGCAACTCCTTGATTCCGAAATACGAATAACAAACACATTTGTCATATGGCGTTGCATCTTGTGAATGCACTGTCGAAGGACGGTGTATATGATAATGCCGACTTTATATAATTTACATATTAAAATATGCTCAAGATCTCACAGCAGATAAAATGCCTCGAGTTACCTTGACATAATTTCCTTTAGAGGAATGAGGCTATCAATTTCACTTTCTGTGCTTATCTACAAATATGCGCTTGGTCAGTCGGTGTTTGCATGTCTGATACTATTTAAAATGTTTTCGACTTGTGGGATAGGTTTGGATATATAAAATTGGGTATAGGAATGTTCCTTTCGTCAGCATGATAGTGAATTCACATAGGTTTCAACATTCTGGCCTTAGCAAAGCATTCAAAACATTTCACGGTAGACATGTGGATGACATTTCCAAATTTGTCGCATCAGTGACAAAAAAAATGTCTGATGGAAATCCCTATTTTGACTTGTACCATATGTCCCTGTGTATTATCAGATGAACAGTTGACTTGCCGTGAACGTTTTTCTTCACTTATAAGCAGCAGAGGCTCTTCACCTGTACACAGCAGGCGTAATATGAACATATCATTTAGTTTTAAAAAAATCAGTGAATGCGCTATCGTGTTACTAGATTGTCTGGTACATCACTTGATTGTCTGGTTCGTTTACAGACCGCGTACGCATGGCAGGATCACATCTGTGCGGCGTCAGGGAACAAAGAAATACAGTAAAGTACGGTTATAACGAACTCAAAGGGACTACTATTTTTAGTTCGTTATAACCGTAGTTCGTTATAAGCATATATACAGCATAACTACAGCAACTAGTCGGGACCAAAAAGTAAGTTCGTTATAAGCGTGTTCTTTATAACCGCAGTTTACTGTTTTTACCTTTTTGCAAATTATGTGAGTTGCAGGTGGTACCAGTAGGGCTGGATATGCTAAACCATTTCTCGAACACCTAGTTGTATCACTGATTTTCACTGATCCATTCATATAATTTCCACAGTCATTTTGTCTTTTACTCCAAATGGAATCTGTTTTCGGTGATAATCGAGTCTGACCATTCTCTGGCGTTGACGTTTTATATGTGTGACTATGACGGATGCCACCGGTGGGGCAGAATAAGTTGACCATTAGGGGAACACCTGGTATTATCGCTATTAGGTAATCATTCATCACATAGTCATACAAGTGACTCCTCTTTTGGTATGGAAATGGGTTTTTTTGGTCGCTTTTCATTATTTACTTATTTAAACAGTATGTGATGAATATCAAAAATATATTAATCCGGCCTATATCACATATTTTAATCCAAAAGTTCAATAGCCGAAAGCACAAAACACACACACAAAAACAACAACAAAAAAACACCTAGCTATCGGTCATGTGAAACCGTTTCAGTTAATGTCCTAAAATACTGAACCGCAAAAGAAACGTCACCCCAAGTGACATTGCATGAAAAGTTGTCATTTGAAATATTTTTTTCAAAGTTTCTAAAATCTAACATTACCTGGTCCGGTTAAATGAAATTTGATGATTAAAAAAACAAAGCAGGTGACAATAAAACCGATCGCCCAAACGCATCACGGCAACGGCCATCGTAACCTGTTGCACGTGAGTTCTGTGCAAATTGAAATGCACATGCGTTCCCCCATTTCTTGCCCTATAAAAATCCACCCAGATCGGATAACATTCATTCGTTATTGAATTGCTACCACATGCCAAGATTGACAAGAAATCAGCGAGACTTGGACGATTTCAAGCTGGACAAACCGCCCGGCAAGAAGCCAATGCATTGCAAGTCCAGGTAAGGACCATATACAAACTCCATCAACGGTACCAGACAACCAACACTAAAGATGACCGACTCCGTAGTGAAAGACCAAGGGTCACCAACCGACGTCAGGATCGTCAGATTTTACGACAGCATTTTCAAGATCCCTTTGTTACTGCTGCGGAAACTGCTCGACAGACCATGGGGACGCACCAGCGACACATTAGTGCGGACACCGTGCGTCGACGATTGACGAGCAGACCTCCACTGTCACAGGCCACACCGAGGACCCATTCTGACACCACGATATCGTCGGGACCGTCTCCATTGGGCAACACAGCACCAGCATTGGCGCCACCAGCAGTGGAGAAGAGTCCTCTTCTCAGACGAGAGCCGTTACTGTATCTCAACAGCAGAGAGAGAGAGAGAGCGAGAGAGAGAGAGAGAGAGAGAGAGAGAGAGAGAGAGAGAGAGAGAGAGAGAGAGAGAGAGAAACTGGCCACGCCGTGGGGAAAGTTATTCGGATGCTTGTGCTGTTGAGAGAGACTCGTGGGGTGGTCCGAGCATCATGGTGTGGGATGGAATTGGTCTTGCACAGAGGGTTGGCCCTGTGGCCCAGGGAGAGGCCATGGTGTCACAGCAGCTCGGTACATAGATCCAGTCTTGAGACCACATACCGCAACCACGAGTTTTAGCATGATAACGCCCATGCCCACACTGCGAGAGAAACAAGAGACTTACTCCAGCAGAATGGAATCAGAACCATGTCGTGGCCTGCCCTCAGTCCTGATTTAAATCCCATTGAGCACCTGTGGGACGAGATTCAAAAACGGCTGAATGACGTCCGACCAAGTCCGACAACTGCAGCTGAACTGCGTCAGGCGTTCCTCAGAGTGATGGCTCAAATGCCTATGGCCTTCATCAACCGCCTCTTCCATTCCATGTATCGACGTTGCACGGCAGTCATCAATGCACATGGCAGACACACGAGATACTCACTTGTGATGCCATTTTCTCAGAGACTAGTGTTGTGTTTCACGTTAAGAACATTTGGCACTTTAATTTCCACATTGATGATCAGTTTTGCCAAGTTGCATCTTTTTAATATGTCTCAAAGTATGTTTACAGTGTTTGGCAAAATAAGGTTTCTCATATATCTATCCATGGTGACGTTTCTTTTGCGATTCAGTATACGTTTCAGGTAAGGTTATTACATCAAAGGGAAGCTTTGTCATACCTTGTCCTTTGTGTTTGTTCACTGTTGAATGTATATGTTTCACAAAACTTGTAACCCAATGCGTCTGTGTCTGGTTCGATTTGATTTTAAAATAAATAGTTTTCCCTATTTGAAGACAAATGAGGTTGATGCGGTAAGGACTCAATTTGACAAGTAGGTGTGACAACCCGTATTTTGAACATCAATGTAGTGTTAATAGAGAATACTACACTTATTCTCGATAGCGAGGTCAGATACCATAGAAAGTGCACGAGATTCGAAAGATTGCTATCTAACGAGAATGAGTGTGGTATCTTATTTATTACCTAAATATATGTGTATATATTAAAATATGTATTTAAGTGTAGATACATAACGACTTTCTTACGTTAACAGACCAAACTGAAACCGGTTGTAAATCTGGTTGGGCATGTGTAAATCTCACAGCGGCGTTTTTGCGCTAGAGATGAACGTTCATTCATGAACTAACGATTTCGGAAGCAATGTCACAAAATACGCTTCGAATGAGGACACTGATGACACAACCGGAGCATCCAACGTAAGTCAAAGATATCTGTCCAGATAGTTTAGCTGACTTCATGTCACCACGCTTAACATTAACACGTTAAATCAAATTGAAGTCGCGAAAGTAATCGGGTGCGTCACGCTCGATAGGGACCCTTGATAAAGATATATCGGAAGACGTACATTGCATATGGATACAGCTCGATTATATAATGTCTGCAGTAGTTCTATGCATGACTAATATTGAATGCAAAGCGAGTTGATGCGTGTACCTTGTTTGGTTTGATAAAGAGTGTGTAAATGTCTGTCGCTTTCATGAGATTCCTTCAGTTCTGCCTTGTAGTTAAACAAGTGAATGACGTCTCGTGTTTTTTTTATGAATGAAAAAAGTAGTTCCGGTGTGACAGAGGTCACGGTTATCCAATCAAAAGGAATAAAACGAGGACAACCGTGTACGACACACGTGTGACGTACGGATTTAATGTGTAACCATCTCTATCTTCACCACGTGGGTAATAAACGTATTTATTTGTGAGGGAGTGTCTGTTTGAAATAGTCATTAACACCAGCCTGGACTCCATACACCGCCGTAGTATTTTGGGTTCGCTGCAGGAATACTAGCATTGTTCTGCGCCGGAACACGGGACTTCTTCCAGTTCTCCAGTCTCTTCTTCATCATATCCACTAACTCAGGGTACGTGGCTGAGAGGTCGAAATGTTCAGTTGGATCTGCAGTTATGTTGTATAGCATGAAGGGAGGGAACTTCTGGTTATCAGCTTGATAAACACGTTCATCAATTCCCAGATGTGGCAAAGGAGCCCAACCATTGTGATCTCCCGGACTTCCTTGTATGAGTTTGAGATCTCCGTACCGTATTGCAGCTGCTTCCTCCTCGTCATAGATGTTGTAGACGAACTCATTCCGTTTGGTGGGTCCGCCATTGATGAGCATGTCGTACTGACTGACTCCGTCCATGTTGGGGTCTGTGTTCTCTCCACCAGCTAGCTCCACCAAAGTCGGGTTCCAGTCCACAGCATGCATCATTCCAATGTTAAGGTAGCCCGTCTTCTTCAGAAGGGTTTTACTGTAGATGAACCCAGTTCCCTTCGTTCCCCCTTCCCAGAGAGTAGCTTTAGCTCCTCGTCAAGGCAAGTTATTAGAAGCTTTATACGTAGGACCACCATTATCGGTTGTAAAGACCAACAATAGGTTGTCCATGAGACCTTTGTCTTCTAATGCCTTAGTGATATTCCCAACAGCTTCGTCTAACGCACTCACCATTCCACAATAGACCCTTCTGCGTTTGGTTTCTATGTTCTTGTACATGTTTTCATATTTAGGTGGAACTTCCAGAGGTTCATGTACAGACTGGAATGGAAGGTATAGATAAAGTGGCTTACTGTTGTTGTGGCCCTCAATGAATTCAACAGCCCTGTTAGCAAACACATACGCAGAGTAGGTCCCATTGGCCTCTCTATAGGCAATCTTGTTTAAGTGAAAATCCAATCCGACTTCACCTTGGGGATCCTTTAACATGTGAGTAAAATAGTCCTCTGCACCAGAGTAATGACCAAGATAGGTGTCAAAGCCTCTCTCTGTGGGTGTATATTTCCAGTTACAGAAGCCAAGGTGCCATTTCCCAACCATGTGAGCATCATAGCCAAGTTGTTTCAGTTTCTGTGGTAGTGTTGTCAGGTTGGCTGGCAGGAATTTTGCTGCGTCTGTCTGAATAACGCCATCTTGAAGCCCGGTGTGATAGGGGAAATAACACGACATAAAACAGTTTCGGGAGGGCGAACACAAAGGCTGGACGTAAGAAGAGTTGAGGATGACTCCAGCTTTGGCCAGTCTGTCCAGGTTAGGGGTGATCATTTGAGGGTTCCTATATCCAACATCGTTCCAGCCGAGGTCATCAGCGACAATAAATACAATATTAGGTTTCTCCATACATTCACAGATAACAAAAGTCATAAAAGAATAATACATACAGCTTTTTGGAGACCCATTTTGCTTCTGCTCGGTGTGGTACATTGTGCTTCTATTTAAAGGTTTGCAATAGATAACGCACGTCGTGACTGGCCCTGTGCGTAATATTGTATATGCACTCCTGTGTTGTATTATAATGTATATTTTGGTCTTGGCCATGCATACTTTGTATGAATTACCAATTTTTGATGGAATAAATTGCCTAGAGTCTTACGCCAGAAGGCGGTGGCTCATGGGCCAATCTGGTGATGTTGACCTCTGTATTCTGTATATCTCCAGTTTCTTGTCATGGACTGAACCTGCCTGGCACTACATCTGGTAGATAAATATAGCTATTCAAGTCATATTTGCTGGAGTATAACACCCCTGTAGCCCTGGTGTTTTGCATTTTGGATATCCAATGCAATGAAACACTGTCCTTGTTGACACTTGATGGTGGGTGGGGAGCAGGGGTGCAGAACCACTTCCTTTCATTATGTCGACACAACACTCTGGTTCGAAAAGAAAACACCTAGATGCTAGCTCCTCTGAGGCTTCTGATCATCAACCTTTGAAATTGAACCCGTTCACTATTTCTAAGGCCATCAATGGTTGTTGTGGAACAGTTAACAATGTTACCCGCCTCCGTAATGGCTCCATACTTGTGGAATGTGCCAGGAAACAGCAATCTCTTAATCTGTTATCAATCAGCCAATTTGCAAATGTAGAGATTGCTGTCTCGGCACATAGGACTTTGAACTCGTGTCGAGGCATTGTGAGAGACAGAGCCCGATGTTTAGCTGACATGAGTGAAGATGAGATTGTGACCGAACTAACAAATCAAGGTGTTACAGCTGTCAAGCGTTTCACCAGAAAACAGGATAATAACATCATCAAAACCAACACCTATCTCTTTACTTTTTCCCTTACCAAAATTCCTAAATCTATAAAAGCTGGGTACTTTAATATCGGAGTGGAAGTTTATGTACCAAACCCACTCCGATGTTACAAATGTCAACATTTTGGACACGGTGCCAAGACCTGCACTCTCAGCGTAGTTTGTGTGCGCTGCAGTGGCTCTCATGAGAGCACTGAGTGCACTGATGCCACAAAGTGTGCAAATTGCGATGGGGACCACTTGGCCTCATCCAAATTTTGTCCACACTTTATCCGTCAATCTCAAATATTAAAAATTAAACGCACTAACAATATCTCTTTTCATGATGATAAGAAGCTAGTTCAGTCACAATCTCCAAATAACTCAACAAAATCTTACTCAGCAGCAGTAACTGTCACTCCTGTTGTCAAGGCCGCCACAGTTTCTGTAGGATGCCAAACGACCATCTCTTGGGTTGGTACTCAGCAGATGCTAGAAGACAAGTCAGCCAAATCATCTCACAGTGTCACAACAAGAGTAACATCAGCTTCACAGACGGAGCTAGTGAAATCAACAAAAAATAGTAGAACCAGAATCATCTCCAATTCATGGAGACCTCCATTTATCAAAAACGGAAAAAAAGAAACTGAAAAAAAGGCTAGGGCCCTCCAACACTTGGAGGTGCCTTCTTCTCAGCCGACACCTGTTAAGGTTCAAAATCAATTTGAACCTTTGGCGATGAAGATCACTCCATCTCCAACAGACCATGGGAGTGGACCTCCCTCTCGGTCCAGATCCCCAGTAGAACCACCATGACCTGTTCTAACCCGATAATACAATGGAATTGCAGAGGACTAAAAAACAATTTTAATGATTTACAGCTATTAACACAGGATTTCAAGCCAACTGCCTTTTGTCTACAGGAAACATATTTTAAAAATACAGATCAACTCAACATCAGACAATATGATTCTTATCATTTCCTTTCACCTCCAGGAGCTAAAGCAACTGGAGGAGCTTCAATCCTGGTGAGGCAAGGTATTATTCATAGCCCTGTTCCTCTGAATACACCTCTACAAGCTATTGCAGTTCGTATCACTATGCACATTGTTTTTACTCTGTGCTCTCTTTACATTCCTCCATCTGTCTCTCTTTAGCAATCAGATCTTCAAGCTCTCTATGACCAGCTTCCTAAGCCCTGTATTATAATGGGCGATATGAACGGACATAATCCACTTTGGGGTAGAGATCATACCAACGGTAAAGGCAAGCATTTAGAAGATTTTATTTCAAACAATACTCTGTGCCTTTTTAATGATAATTCAAACACATATTTACATCCTGGTACAGGCACATACTCTTCTCTGGATTTGTCTGTTACAGATTCCAACCTGCTAAATGAATTTGAGTGGTCAGTCCACGATGACCTCTGTGGAAGTGATCACTTTCCAACCATTCTACACCCTATTACCCCATCTGATGTTCCTCCGTCCTCTAGATGGAACTTTACCAAAGCTAACTGGCCTCTGTATGACCTTCTATGTACAGCAAAGTTAACACCTGATCGCTTTACTGACATTCCTGACCCGATAACATGCTTTTCTGATGAACTCATCAAAATAGCTGAAGATTGTGTTCCCAAGTCCTCTGGAATTCCACACATACGTAAACCATGGTTTACTGATGACTGCAAGCGAGCTAGGAAGGTGAGGAAAAAGGCGGAGCATTATTTCCGCCGCCATCCTATGGTTCATAACTTAAATAAATTTAAAATCTTAAACGCAAAAGCCAGCGTACATTTAAAGAAAGTAAACGCCAATCTTGGCGAAATTATGTGTCAAAAATAAATTCAAGGACGCCCATGTCCAAGGTATGGAACATGGTCCAAAAAATCAAAGGTAAGGGCACTAAAGCTAGTATTCATCATCTTAAAAATGGGGACCAACTACTAACTCATAAATCAGATATTGCTAATAAACTTGGCGAAACTTTGTCGAAACACTCTTCCTCATCTAACTATGTACCTCAATTCCAAAAGTATCAAAAACAGCAAGAAAAGAAACCTATAAATTTTAATTCAGATAATCGGGAAGATTATAATGAACTATTCTCTATTCATGAACTCCACACTGCCCTTGGACAAGCTCACGATACTGCTACAGGAGCTGATCACATACATTATCAACTCCTGAAGCACTTACCAGAATCATCCTTAGAAACACTTTTGAATATTTTTGATGTCATTTGGACCTCAGGGAAGTTCCCTCCTTCGTGGCGTGATGCTATAGTTGTCCCGCTCCCCAAGCCCGGTCGAGATCATACTGACCCATCAAATTACCGACCAATATCATTGACAAGCTGCGTTTGCAAAACCATGGAACGCATGATAAACAATCGTCTCGTTTGGTACCTGGAATCCAATAATCTTATTACTAATATACAATGTGGTTTCCGGAAAAACAGGAGTACCATCGACCATTTGGTTAGCTTGGAATCATTTGTTAAAAATGCCATAATAAATAAACAACATGCAGTGTCTATCTTTTTCGATCTAGAAAAAGCATATGACACTACATGGAAACATGGTATTTTAAAAGATTTACATGATTTTGGATTACGAGGCCGTTTGCCTCAATTTATATCCGCATTTTTAACTGACAGGCAATTTCAGGTCCGCGTGGGATCTACCCTGTCTGATCATTATAATCAGGATCAGGGTGTCCCACAAGGAAGCATCTTGTCTGTCACATTGTTTAGTATTAAGATAAATAGTTTGTCTAAAGTTTTAAATGATTCGATTGATGGATCGCTCTTCGTGGATGATTTTAATATTTCTTGTCGTGGCAAAAACATGCATACTATTGAAAGGCAACTACAGCTCTGTTTAAATAAAATCCAGAAATGGTGTCTCGAAAATGGTTTTAAATTTTCAAAATCTAAAACCAACTGTATACATTTTTGTAGAAAATATAAACCCCATAAAGATCCAGAAATAATTTTAGATAACACTCCCGTTAAAGTTGTAAAGGAAGCCAAATTCTTAGGTCTAATATTCGATCATCATTTGACCTTTCTGCCCCACATTAAATACTTAAAGAATAAGTGCTTGAAGGCCCTAGATTTATCAAACGTTGTCTCAAATTGTAAGTGGGGAGGGGATCAAAAAACCCTCCTCCAACTATATCGAACACTTATCTGCTCGAAACTTGATTATGGCTCCATCATATATGGTGGAGCCTGTAAGAGCAATTTAAAATTACTTGACACCATTCATCATCAGGGCCTGAGGCTTTGCCTGGGAGCCTTCAGAACTTCACCTGTTCATAGTTTGTATGTGGAAGCTAACGAGCCTTCCCTAAAACACCGTCGCATTTAATTAGCTCTCCAATATATCTCTAAATTACGTTCCAATAACTCCAATCCAGCATATGACTGTGTTTTCAATCCCCTTTACGGTAATCTATTCCAAACAAAATCTTCTCTTATTCCACCACTAGGAATACGACTACAAGCAGATATTTCTGCTGCTAACATTAACCTTGGTAATATAGCCCCCACTCAGCTTTTCTCTTCTCCACCATGGCAGTTAGTACATCCAGAGGTGGATCTAACTTTAGCTAAACTGAAGAAATCTGACACAAATCAACTAATTTATCAACAACAATATAATGAATTAAGGAACACATATAATACTTACAAATCCATATTTACAGATGGATCCAAGGATGGTGCCGCTGTTGCAAGCACCACTGTCATTGGATCCAGGACCATATCATCTAGATTACCGAATGACAGTTCTATTTTTACAGCGGAATCGCAGGCAATATTAACTGCTCTTAAATATATACATACCCAATCTAAACATAAACGGTTCATTATCTTCTCTGATTCACTTTCCTGTCTTCAGGCAATTAATAATATATCTTGTCATCATCCACTTTTACGTGAAATCATTGAACTACAAAATGATCTTGCTACTGGTCAGTACGACATCGTCTTTTGTTGATTACCAAGCCATGTTGGTATCATTGGTAATACAATGGCCGATGCTGCTGCAAAAGCAGCACTCACCAAATCTGTGACACCACTTCTTCTGCCATACACTGATTATAAACCCATAATTAGATCTTACATCACTGATCTAATGCAAAGGAAGTGGGACACTCAAGTAGGTATAAATAAATTACATGAACTTAAACCAACTATCGGCTACACCTACTTGGGCTGTCAGTCCAGATTTGAGGAGGTCATAATACGACGATGTCGTATTGGCCATAGCAGGTATACAAACGATTATTTGTTGAAAGGTGAGGATCCTCCATTTTGTATCCCTTGTGATGAAAGAATCACCGTCAAGCATGTCCTGCTTGACTGTGTTGATTTTTCCATCACAAGGGATAAATATTTTACATCATCATCAATTAAGGATCTTTTTAATAGAATCAATTCTCATTTAATCATAGGTTTTTTAAAAGAAATTGAACTTTTTGATAAATTTTGAATTGTGTACATAGCTATATTTTATATCGGTAATGTATAATTTGTAACTTAGATTGTCAGTGGCGATATCCTCAAAGGGGGTTGAAGTAGCGTAAAATTATTGTCCCCCTGAGAGGTTATGTAAGACCACATCATTCAAAGTACATTTATTCTTACCTCGGTTTTAAAACGTAGTATATTTGTTTCTTTTAATGGTTGGCTAAAATTGCATACCATTACCAGCAGCTGAAGGGTTGGTGTAAATCCTACTTGGGAGGCGTGCAGGTAGCAAAAGTAATGTAAGTCCCCTCGGTCCCTTGTTAGGTGGCCTAACTTTGGTTGCTGGTGATCTATAGCCCATTTTTATATTGTCTTGTTGATTATAAATGTATTGTTTTAACTGTTATCAACTAGTTTTACAATTGAACCTGTGATATTCTAGTAATCTTACTGTCGATCGTTGACTGCCTTTTATTAATTCAAAATGTGATTATTATAACTGTTTTGTCGCGATATGGCTGAAATACTGCCGATGTGACGATAATTTTCACTCACTCACTCACTCACTCATGAAAAGAGGCATTTTGGTCTTTTTCAATCTAGGTTTCACCTTCAAAGGACTGTATCTCATTCCATAACGGGTAGCCTAGTGGTTAAAGCGTTAGCTCGTCACGCCGAAGACCCAGGTTCGATTCCCGACCAGGGCACAATGTGTGAAGCCCATTTCTGGTGTTCTCCGCCGTGATATTGCTGGAATATTGGAAAAGTGGTGTAAAACCATATTCACTCACTCACTCACTCATTCCAGAACATCTTGTGTCACAAATTAAGAGGAATTTATGAGGAGATATGAAACCAATTAAGCTCAGCAAAACATTAAGGCGTTGGGGTAGCCCTGTGGTTAAAGCGTTCGCACGTCACGCTTGAAGACACAGGTTCGATACTCTGCATTGGTACAATGTGTCCCCCACCATGATTTGGTTGGAACATTACTAAAAGCGACTTAAAACTATAATCACTCACACATTCGACAGATATTTCATAGTTTCTATCAACTTGTATAATGTTTCTATATTCATACAACATGTTCTACTATATTTGACTTTATTTGACATTAACACCAGCCTGGACTCCATACACCTCCGTAGTTTTTAGGGTTCGCTGCAGGAACAGGAGAAGGGTCCTGGGCCGGAACACGGGACTTCTTCCAGTTCTCCAGCCTCTTCTTCATCATGTCCACTAACTCAGGGTACGTGGCTGAGAGGTCGAAGTGTTCCGTTGGATCTGCAGTAATGTTGTATAGCATGAAGGGAGGGAAGGTTTGGTTATCAGCTTGATAAACACGTTCATCAATTCCCAGATGTGGCAAAGGTGCCCAACCATTGTTTGCTCCTGGACTCCCTTGCATGAGTTTGAGATCTCCGTACCTTATGGCAGCTGCTTCCCGCTCGTCATAGATGTTGTAGACGAACTCATTCCGTTTGGTGGGTCCGCCATTGATGAGCATGTCGTACTGACTGATCCCATCCATGTTGGGGTCTGTGTTCGCTCCACCAGCCAGCTCCACCAAAGTCGGGTACCAGTCCACAGCATGCATCATTCCAGTATTGAGGTAGCCTGTCTTCTTCAGGAGGGTTTTACTGTAGATGAACCCCGTGCCTTTCGTTCCCCCTTCCCACAGTGTATTTTTGGATCCTCGTAAAGGCAAGTTATTGGCAACAACATTAGTTGGACCACCATTATCAGTTGTAAAGACCAACAACAGATTGTCCATGAGACCTTTGTCTTCTAAAGCCTTAGTGATATTCCCAACAGCTTCGTCTAGCGCACTTACCATTCCACAATAGACCCTTCTGTTTTGGTTTTCTATGTTCTTGTACATGTTTTCATATTTAGGTGGAACTTGAAGAGGTGTATGAACAGATTGGAATGGAAGATAGAGATAGAGTGGCTTACTGTTGTCATGGTTCTCAATTATTTCAACAGCCCTGTTAGCAAACACATTTGCAGAATAGGTCCCATTGGCGTCTCTATATGCTGTCTTGTTGAAGCGAAAATCCAATCCTCTGCCACCTTGGGGATCCTTTGACATGTGAGTAAAGTACTGTTCCATTCCAGAGTAGTATCCTACATAGGAGTCAAAGCCTCTCTCTGTGGGTGTATATTTCCAGTTACAGAAGCCAAGATGCCATTTTCCAACCATGTGAGTGTCATAACCAAGTTGTTTCAGTTTCTGTGGTATTGTTGTAAGATTGGCTGGCAAGACTTTTGCTGAAGTTATCTTAATAACGTTATCTTGTAGTCCAGTGTGGTAGGGGAAATACCCCGACATGAAGCAGTTTCTTGAGGGCGAGCACATAGGCTGGACGTAAGTAGAGTTGAGGATGACTCCAGCTTTGGCCAACTTGTCCAGGTTAGGGGTGATCATTTGAGGGTTCCGAAATCCAACATCATTCCAGCCGAGGTCATCAGCGACTATAAATACAATGTGAGGTTTCTCTGCACACTCACAGATAACAATAGTCAGAACAATAAATACAGCTCTTTGGAGACTCATTTTGCTTCTGCACAATGTGGTACAGTGTGCTTCTATTTAAAGGTTTCCAATAGATAACGGACGTCGTGACAAGCCCAGGACGAATTCTTTCTGTGTGATTACCAGCTGGATAGTCTCCTTGTCAAGATATACACTACATAATCAGTGCAACTTTTTTCACAAAGCCTGTAAGTGTAACCATATGTCCTATAATACATGACATTCTTGTCACAAAATCGAAAAACTTAGGATTTTCATTGCTCCTGAGCATGGAGTTGAACAACATGCATACATACATCACCATATTTATTTTTTAGTTTGACATACAATCGTTAACATACAATCGTTAACATGCAAAGCTAGTACATCAAATGTTACTGTGCATTCATTTGACCCAAATACACAACACATGTACAAGCAATCCAACAGGTGCAAATTTTAAATTGTGCATATAAACGGAGTCTACAAAACGTTCTATATCTGTAAAGTGTGCATGTAACACTATTTATGCTGCTCATCTTTCTGTTGAGCGTCATTGGTGTCGATCACAAGGTATTGATGTTTTGTTAAGCTCTGAAATATATTAGTTTGGAATGAACATTTATTGATGTAATTGGTGTTGCGTGGACTGTTGTCATGTTTTGGGCTACGTATCTTTACGTATGCATTACTAAGAAACGTACCGGGTCAGAGTACATTAAAACAAAGGGTATGTACAAGATATTTAGAAAAAAAATATGCATTTTAAAATGATTGCACATGAAATTACTGTAACATTCTATTTTGCCACATGGCGTAACACATATTTTACTATTTTAAACGAAGAGGAAGTGTGTAAGATCTTCTGCAACTTGTCTTTCGGCAAAAGTGCAGCGGTTAATGGCAGTTCATTGAGCTTTCCAGAATGGCTTTTTACTGGATTTAGAGTTATCTGCCCTTGGTGTATGCATCAACATGGCATTCTTGACGTTATAACAGCAACAGGAGGGTGATTTCAGGCCTTTTTGACGTGACTAATTTCTAATCTACTTGCCAAGTGCGGTTTAGATGCCTGAAACACCAAATTCCCGCCAGCTTTCAGAAAAATATTGGATTAAAAACCCTCTTTCATGACATTCAGCAGTTACAATATTCCGAACATTTGTGAGTGCACTGACATTAATTCCAGGGTCTGTTACTTAGTGTTGCTTGGACTTATTTGAACCACTTTATTGCCCTTTCATTGTAAACCGAAAACTGTGTGTTTAAATATAATTTATTGTATATTCATTGATCTTGTGTGGTAATCGACTGATTTCACAAGTACGTTTTGTGGGAACCCTCTGGTTTTCAATTTGGAAATCACACTTACAGTCATCAATTTGTCTGATGAAGCTTATCCGTGCTTTATACGACATCCCCTCAATTACTGACTCATTTGGTTGATTATGGTGAGGTTGATACATTCTGAGTTTGGTAGGAGACGGAATATGTTTCTTGCTGCATTTTTAGGACATCCAGCAAGACCTTTGAGCATTTATTATGTGTATGAAACGTATGGAAAAACTATTTTGCTCCAGTATTTCCTGGTACTGTTCATTAAAAAAATTCCCAGCCCCTATCTGAATCTCAACTATCTGGTCGTTCAGTAAACGACACAAAAATAACAGACACACGTATAACTTTTGATGTGGTGAATCTGCTGTTGAAAGGACGAGGCTTTAAGGCCGTCTTTGTGAGAAGACTAACAAAAGATTGTCCATGAGACCTTTGTCTTCTAAAGCATTCGTAATGTTTCCCATAGCTTTATCCAAATCACTCATCATTCCACAATAAACCCTTCTGCTCTTAGTTTTTTGTACATATTTTTAAATTTGGCTCATGTGGTTCATGAACAGATTTAAGGTGTAGATAAAGTGTTTAACTATGTCGTGGTTTTCAATTATTTCAACTGCCTTGCTAGCAAAAAAATTTCAGGTCCCACTGACTTTTGTGTAGACAATCCTTTGGAGGCTAAAATCCAGTTTTTGCCTGCCTTTTTCCCGTGGGTAAAATAGTCTTCTGTACCAGAGTAATATCCAAGATAGGAGTCAAGGTGAGTGAGCGAGTTGGTTTGAACGCCGCTGTTAACAGTATTCCAGTTAAATCTCGGCGTGTCAGCTTAATGTGGGAGGAAAGCCCGAAGTGATGCAGGTCTCAGACGTTTACCCCTTCGGTTAAACCCACGAGCACGGGCATGGTGCTGACAAACCTAGAAACATAATCGGGGCGAACCCCACTCATAGGTTTCTGGCGTGCCCAAGGGACGCATATCTGCGCAGAGAATCGCGGCGCCTTAGACGACTGGGCCCCCCATGCCCCCCATATGAGTCAAAGCCTCTCTCTGTGGGTGTACAGCTGCAGTTGTTAGATTGGCCGGCATGTGCTTTTTTGTGTTGACCATTATGACTTCCATCTTGTCGTCCAGTGTGGTAGGGGAAATATCCCGAAATGAAGCAGTTTCGGGATGGCGAACACAAAAACTGGAGGATGACTCCAGCTTTGGTCAGTCTGTCCAGGTTAGGGGTGATCATTTGAGGGTTCCGAAATCCAACATCATTCCAGCAAAGGTCATCAGCGACATTGTATATGACTTAAGGTTTCTCTCCATACGCAAAGGCGAAAAATAAATCAGACCAAGGAACAGATGTTTGTAATAGATAACATTCATCGTGACCAACCCCGATCTTGCATTCCTTCCCGTAAGATAAAACGACTATATAGTCTTCAAGTCCGAGTTCTAGACCACTTTATCCACGTTCATTTGAGAAATATGCATTCACATTATTTGTGAGACAGATACACACATTACATTCAATAGAGAACATATTTTCAACGAATAAGAATATCTCAATCAGCCAATGCTACCTCTTGACCTTTGTGAATACTACATGCTTGTAGCTTATGTATGGTCTCTGCTATATATAAACATTGAACATGTTGAAGTCATTTCTTATCCATCTTAATCCCAGCTTCGTTAATCAGCTCCGCTCGTCTTAGGTGTACTGCAATGCCTGTTGTTCCATTTTCAATGTGTACTCCACTATTCCACTACTGGATATCTTGTTTAAGACGACATAACCCAAAGGACGTGGGGGCCTAGGCTCCGACTATTTAATATTTTTGTATTCACTGCTTCAAGACATACACTTTTTTATTTGAAAGGACAAACCAAGAATTTGCTTTCTTTTTACACCTCTCATTTGCTTCAGGACGCCAACAGTTTTAGAGAGAACAATCATTTTTGTTGTAAATCGGAGTACAAATTATTTTGTCTGTATCTTCACCAAATATAAACATTATCCCCGTAGAATGTCCTCATTTACTCCAAAAAAATCCGAAGATTTTCAAAATATACAAAAGTATGTAATCAAATAATTAAATAATAAATAATTGGTTGGTATGATTCGATGTAAGTGGCAGATCATTTGATATTCCTGATGAGCGCGGAGGCTTGTGTTTTTGTGTGAGACTCTTGAAGACTTACATTTCTTTCTCTAAAGGAGGTGCAATCTTTAAGCATCTGCACACAGCCTATTGTTCTAGGACATACAATCAATCCCCAACCGGAATGTTTTTGGTCGCTCCCTTGCCGTAAACATATCAAATGACGTGGTGGGGTGAATCGTGTTAGTTTGGGATTGAAATGAAAAGATCTTACAGCAGATAAAATATCACGTGGTGTGATTTACCTTGACATGAATTCCTTACTCGGTGTCAGGTTATCAATGTCACATTCTTTGGTTATCTCCAAATATTTTCTTGGTGAGTCAATCTTTTAACCACGTTGCATGTCACAGTTAGATAATGTCTTCTGGATGATAATACTTTCAATGTTTTCGACTTACGGCATATGTCTGGATGTCAAGTGGTATATGAATATCCCTTTTGCCACCATGATGCTATAAAAGATGATAATTGTTTCACATCTTTGTATTTGATTTTTATAATTGGTCCCCAATAACATATGTTTGTCGTACGATGTGACTTAATGGATCGTGTGGACAGGCTCGGAGACTTGGTTGGTTGCGTGTCATCGTACCCAGTCAGGATCGTTGCTTATGATATGAACCAGTCACTGGATTGTCTGGTCCACACTCGTTCATTTCCTGGTCGCCGTCATATAACATGGATTATTGCAGCGGTAAACAACTAAAAAAAGACATAGAATTCTTTTGACCAGTACAAATCTTAGGGTAATACACGTGCCTTCACATTAGCCAGTAATGATATGTTCAAGGTCCGTGGTATATATCTAGATGATAAAACATGGGTATTGGGATACACTTTGTGTGTGTGACGTAATGGATAATACCGTGACGTTAAAATTGATACAATAAGCCTCGTGATGGCATTAAGCAGAGGTTGGGATGAACACTCGATGGCTACCTTTAGTTTATTTAACCGTCTCTTGTACAGTTTGAGAGATGTTAAAGGACTGGGACTGAATACCTGTGTTATCAAGGAATGGTCCAGTGTTGTGGGTACATGTTATAGACCTGAGCGCCAGGGCTATTATCTGTAGTAAGATATAAATATAAATTTATAAAGGAATTATTAATGTCAGATGTGTCGTGGAATGCTGTGGTCATCTGTGTGAGCACTATTTCAACATCTCCGGCACTTGGTGTCTATGTTTCACTACTTTTAGGGCATTATCGAGCATGGTCTTTCCATGAAGATTTCAAGGAGCGTGATGTGACTCTTGATCAAAAGTTGGTTTGTTCAGGGTTACAACATTAGTAACGCTTTCACAAGTTTTATGGATGACATATCAAAATTTGACGCATCACTGACAAAAATTATCTCTGATGCAATTCCCTATTTTGACTTGTACTATATATCCCTGTGCATTTTCAGGTAAACAACTGATATGCCTTTAAACGTTGGTCTTACTTCTAAGTAGCAGAGGGGCCGTCTGGTAGCCAAGTGGTTAAATCGTTCGATTGTCACGCCGAAGACCCGGTTCGATTCCCGCCATTGGTACAATGTGTGAAGCTATTTCTGGTGACCCCCGCCGTGATATTGCTGGAATATTGCTAAAAGCGGCGTAAAACCATCATCACTCACTCACTCTAAGGAGCAGAAGCTCTTCACTTCAGGCGTTATAAAAGTGAACATAACAGTGAATGCGCTATCGTGTCCTTGGAATGGCCGGTGCATCACTAGATTTAAGTCCGCCGTCGCATTGCAACACCAATGCTGGTCAAAGAAACATTTGTGTTTTTTATACAAATTGTGAGTAGCGGGTGCTAACAGTAGGGCAGACCATGCTTAACCTTTTTTCCGAATACCTCGTGTCATCACTGATCCATTCACATCTAATTTGCCTTTTACGCCCGATAAAATCTGTTTCAGGGGATACATGGGACTGGTTATTCTCTGAAGTTGATGTTTTGTAGTTACATGTGGCTGTTGTTGATGCCACCGGTAGGGTAGGATACGCTCTCCTTTTAACGAAAACCTAGTATTGTCACTACTAGATAGTGATTCGTAAACACGTTCTTATGATACAGACGGAATCCAACAATGGAAATGTTTTTTGTTACATTTATTTACTTATTAATTTGCATAGTATGTGATGAATATAAAAAAATATTATTAACCGGCCTTTTAATCGAAAATTTAAAAGTCGAAAAGTAGTCCAGTGCGTCTCTGTCTGTGCTGCTGGTGAAGATAGTAGCACATTAGGGTAAGTGACAAGATAATAAACACCTACATTGCTTCATCCTAAACATAGTAGACCTGAATACTATCAGGAGAATGTTCATAACGTAATCTCATCCTGGCCCATTTAATTGCCATTTATTTAATGTGGATGTCTTGACAAGATGTGATGTTTCTTTGGTCATGTAAATTAACAACGGTATATTCAATAGTTAATAGTTCATGCAGTTAAGACAAGTTAGTGTGACAGTTCGTATTTTGAATGTAGTATAAACTTATTTGTTTAAGATGAAGTGTCTGCTTGAAAGAGACATTAACACCAGCCTGGACTCCATACACCGCCGTAGTATTTAGGTTTCGCTCTAGGTACTGGAGTAGGATCCTGTGCCGGGACACGGGTTTTCTTCCAGTTCTCCAGCCTCTTCTTCATCATGTCCAATAGCTCAGGGTACGTTGCTGAGAGGTCGAAATGTTCAGTTGGATCTGCCGTAATGTTGTACAGCATGAAGGGAGGGAATGTTTGGTTATCAGCTTCATAGACACTTTCGTCAATTCCCAGATGTGGCAAAGGAGCCCAACCATTGTGAATTCCCGGACTTCCTTGCATGAGTTTGAGATCTCCGTACCTTATGGCAGCTGCCTCACGCTCGTCATAGATGTTGTAGACGAACTCATTCCGTTTGGAGGGTCCACCATTGAAGAGCATGTCGTACTGACTGATCCCGTCCATGTTGGGGTCTGTGTTCTCTCCATCAGCCAGCTCCACAAATGTCGGGTACCAGTCCACAGCATGCATCATTCCTGTGTTGAGGTAGCCCGTCTTCTTGAGAAGTGTTTTACTGTAGATGAATCCTGTACCTTTCGTCCCCCCTTCCCACAGAGTATCTTTGGCTCCTCGTAAAGGCAAGTTATTGGCAGCAACAAATGAAGGACCACCATTATCGGTTGTGAAGACTAACAAAAGATTGTCCATGAGACCTTTGTCTTCTAAAGCCTTTGTGATATTCCCAACAGCTTCGTCTAAGGCACTCACCATTCCACAATAGACCCTTCTGCCTTTGGTTTCTATGTTCTTGTACATGTTTTCATATTTAGGTGGAACTTCAAGAGGTGTATGTACAGACTGGAATGGAAGGTATAGATAAAGTGGCTTACTGTTATCGTGGTTCTCAATTATTTCAACAGCCCTGTTAGCATACACATTCGCAGAATAGATCCCATTAGCGTCTCTATAGACAGTCTTGTTGAAGCGAAAATCCAACCCCACGTCACCTTTTGGATCATGTGACGTGTGATTAAAATACTCCTCCATTCCAGAGTAGTATCCAACATAGGAGTCAAAGCCTCTCTCTGTGGGTGTATATTTCCAGTTACAGAATCCAAGATGCCACTTTCCAACCATGTGAGTATCATAGCCAAGCTGTTTCAGTTTCTGTGGTATTGTTATTAGATTGGCCGGCAGGTGTTTTGCTGCGGTTATCCCAACAACGCTGTCCTGTAGTCCAGTGTGATAGGGGAAATATCCCGACATGAAGCAGTTTCTGGAGGGAGAGCACAAAGGCTGAACGTATGAAGAGTTGAGGATGACTCCAGCTTTCGCCAGCCTGTCCAGGTTGGGAGTGATCATTTGAGGGTTCCGAAATCCGACATCATTCCAGCCCAGGTCATCAGCGACTATAAATACAATGTGAGGTTTCTCTGCATAAGCACAAGTGAAAAGGGTCAGAACAAGAAGCACTGCAAGATTCATTTTGCATCTGCCAAATGAGTAGAATGTGCTGCTATTTAAGGATTTGTAATAGATAACATACATCGTGACTAACCTAGATCTTGCATTCCTCCCAGGAAGATAAAGGACAGTATGTTCAAGTTCAAGATTTTTAGAAAAAAAGTAATCATGCATTAGAAATATGACACTGACTAGCAGATAAGGTTAACCCAAGAATTTGAGTTTCGCAGATTCAGCTGAAAAAATATCCAGTCTACATACAAAATCTGACAGACCATTTCATATTTCTGGGGTGGGCTGTTTAAGAGATACATTTGGGATCTCGTGTGGGATCGGCGTTCATATGAATTCTTTCAAGATCTTACAGCAGATACATGGTGTGACATACCTTAGCATGAATTTCTTAAAAGTTATGAAGCTTTCAATGTCACATACTTTGGTTATCTCAAAATATGCACCGGGACAGTCGGTGTGTGTAACGACGTTGCATGTTACAGTTTTGTGATGACTGACAATACTTCCAATGTTTTCGACTTGTGGTATGTGTCTGGATGTCAAGAAAAGAGTTCAGGAATATGCCTGGTTGTTGGTTTTTTGTCCACACCCGATTATTTCCAGACCTCTGAGGTATAAAAAAAGAACAAAAGACTTTAAATGTTACATACCAGTAGGCAACTTTAGGTAATAGACGTGCCTTCACATTCGTCATTAGTGATATGTTCATGACTCCGAGGGGCGGTCGGGTAGCCTACTGGTTAAAGCGTTCGCTCGTCACGCCGAAGACCCGGCTTCGATTCCCGAAATGGGTACAATGTGTGAAATCCATTTCTGGTGTCCCCCGCCGTGATATTACTGGAATATTGCTAAAGGCGGCGTAAAACCATACTCACTCATTCATGACTCCTAAGTAGATAGGCACTCGTGAAGAGCAACCTCCTCGTGGTGGGTGCTGGGTAACGCTAATAGCTCTTCCCCCGTGTGGAACCGGGGCAGAATATTTCCACAGCCTCCCATTGCTGGTCGTATGAGGCGACCAAAATGGGCAACCTGTTTGCCGTGGGTTGCGTCCCTGTGTCGGCGGAGGACGGGAGTCTGGTAGTTGAGGGCACTGGTTCCTGGAACTGTGTTCCTTTGCCCAACACACTACTTCGACCCTTACTTCGCCTAGACGGGTGGTAAGATGGGCCCGGTCTTATCAATCGGCTGGTCATGCCAGGCCCTGTGCGTAATATTGTGTATGCACTCCTGTGTTGTTATTATAATGTATATTTTGGACTTGGCCATGCATACTTTGTATGAATTACCAATTTTTGATGGAATAAATTGCCTAGAGTCTTACGCCAGAAGGCGGTGGCTCATGGGCCAATCTGGTGATGTTGACCTCTGTATTCTGTATGTCTCCAGTTTCTTGTCATGGACTGAACCTGCCTGGCACTACATCTGGTAGATAAATATAGCTATTCAAGTCATATTTGCTGGAGTATTACATCCCTGTATCCCTGGTGTTTGCATGCTGGACATCCGATGCGCTACAACACTGTCCTTGTTGACACTCCATGGTGGGTGGGGAGCAGGTATGCTGAAACACCTTTCTTTCACTATGTCTACCCAACAACCTGGTTCTATTCGCAATGACAAAAAACGACGTCTTGAAGATGATGATTCTGGGAACATTCCCAACAAATATGATTCATGCGCCCGATTCCTGGTGATCGAGGCTGCTGACAAACAACCTATAAAACTCAACCCATTCGCTATCTCAAAAGCTATTAACGGACATTGTGGAGAAGTAAAAAATGTAACGCGACTCCGTAGTGGTTCCATTCTTGTTGAATGTGTGAAGAAGCAGCAATCTCTGAATCTATTGTCCATCAGTCAGTTTGCTAATGTTGAGGTTGCTGTTTCAGCACATAAGACTTTAAACTCCAGTCGAGGCATTGTTCGTGACAGAGCTCGATGCCTTTCTGACATGTCAGAACAAGATATCGTCACAGAGTTGAAGGATCAAGCAGTGACAGCTGTAAAACGTTTTACAAAAAAAATCAATGGTGTTATCACTCCCCTGAACACCTATCTGTTCACTTTTGATCGAACAACCATTCCTCGTTCAATTAAAGCTGGTTATGTTAACATCGGGGTGGAGGTGTATGTCCCCAATCCACTCCGATGTTATACTTGCCAAAGGTTTGGCCATGGTTCCAAGTCTTGTGATCGACCTCATGTTTGCCAGCGTTGTGGTGGTAAACATGACAGCACAGAATGTAGGGCAGATGCCAAGTGTATCAACTGTGGTGGCCAACATGAAGCTTGGTCAAAGTCCTGTCCTGTATGGAAAACTGAGTCACAGATATTGAAACTGAAACACACCAACAATATTTCATATCTGGAAGCCAAGAAGCAAGTCAGTAACCAAGTCAATAACCAGTTAACTTCAACTACAACTTACTCTGCTGTAGTGTCACGCTCTGTTTCCACTTCATCAATTGAATGTCAGACTGCGTTGACCTGGGTTCACTCTGATCAACCAGTAGAAACAACATCTGTCATTCAGCCCAAGAAATCAGATTGTCAGCCCACTACATCATCTTCAGAATCACAGACTGATTCACAATGTTTACCAGAAATTGAAAAACCAGGAAATGTTCACATTTCAAAGACAGAAAGAAAAAAACTTAACAGACAACATCTTAGGACACCCTCTCCTTCAGAGGTGCCTGTCCATAACTCCTTTGGACCTTTGGATATGGAGGTAACTCCGTCTTCAGAGGCCAGTGTTAGGAGTTCTTCACGCTCGCGTGTGAGGTCACCCATTGAGCCGCCATGACTCAAACGCCTCATTTGATTCAGTGGAATTGCAGAGGACTCAGGAAAAATTTTAATGAGATACAATTGCTCATTCAGGACTTTACACCATCAGCAGTGTGTCTCCAAGAGACTTATCTTAAGCACACCGATATATTTGATTTACGGCAATATAATTGCTATCATTCGTTTTCACCTCCTGGTGATAAAGCTACTGGAGGCTCTACTTTATTGATCAGGCAAGGTATCATCCATAGCACTGTTCCCCTCAATACAAATCTTCAAGCTGTAGCTGTCCGACTTACCTTGCACATTGCACTTACTTTGTGCTCCTTAAATATATTCCTCCTTCGACTACTCTTCAGCAGGCTGATCTTCAGAATCTTTATGATCAATTACCAAAGCCCTGTATCATCATGGGCGATCTAAATGGGCATAACCCTCTATGGGGAAGTCCAAATACAAACAGAAAGGGAAAAGTGCTCGAAGACTTTATTTCGGACAACAATCTCTGCCTTTTTAATGACGATTCAAACACTTATTTACATCCTGCTACAGGAACATATTCAGCACTGGATCTCTCCATCACAGATTCAGATCTTTACAACGAATTTGGATGGTCAGTTCATGATGACCTTTGTGGGAGTGACCATTTCCCTACCATCCTTAAAACTGTTAACCCTACTGATCGTCCACCAACAACTCGGTGGAATTTTACAAAGGCTGATTGGTCTTTATATGAATTATTATCCACTGAAAAATTAACACCTGACATTTTTCAACATGTTCAAGATCCGATACAGTTGTTTTCGGACTTGCTGAATGAAATTGCTGATGAAGCAATTCCACAGTCCTCTGCAATTCCTCATATTCGTAAACCATGGTTTAACAACGAATGCAAACAGGCACGAAAATATAGGAAGAAAGCGGAAAAGTATTTCCGCCGCCATCCTACAGTCCATAATCTAGATCGAGTCAAAATTACAAATGCCAATGCACGACGTGCTTTTAAACAAAATAAGCGTATGTCTTGGAGGAACTATGTCTCCAAAATAAATTCCCGCACGCCCATATCCAAGGTGTGGAATATGGTGCAGAAAATAAAAGGCAAAGGTTCAAGATCGTCTGTTCACCATCTTAAGGAAGGTGACACGTTATTAACGGATAAAACAGATATTGCCAATAAACTTGGAGAAACGTTAGCGAAACATTCTTCAACTTCTAATTATGTCCCGGAGTTTCAAAAATTTAAGTAACAACAGGAAAAGATCAAAGTTAATTTCACTTCTGATAATGGTGAAGACTATAATGAAGTCTACTCATTACATGAGCTACATACCGCCCTTCGGCAAGCTCATGACACAGCAACAGGAGCTGATAACATTCATTACCAGCTTTTAAAACATTTACCAGATTCTTGTCTGGAGACACTTTTAGACATATTTGATCAAATATGGACATCAGGGAATTTTCCTACTTCATGGCATAATGCCATTGTAGTCCCAATACCGAAGCCTGGCCGGGATCATACAGATCCCTCTAACTATCGACCTATATCCTTAACAAGCTGCGTATGTAAAACCATGGAACGAATGGTTAATAATAGATTAATTTGGTATCTGGAAACCAATAATCTAATTACAAATATCCAATGTGGTTTCCGTCAAAATAGAAGTACTATCGACCATTTAGTACGATTAGAATCCTTTGTGAAAAATGCTATTGTAAACAAACAACACGTAGTATCAATTTTTTTTTTGATCTTGAGAAAGCCTACGATACTACTTGGAAGCATGGCATTCTAAAGGATTTACATGATTTTGGTTTGAGAGGCCGTTTGCCTCATTTTATATCGCAATTTTTATCAGACAGACAATTTCAAGTCCGAGTGGGTTCCACCCTGTCTGACCATTATAATCAGGATCAGGGTGTCCCACAAGGCAGTATTTTGTCTGTCACATTGTTTAGTATTAAAATTAATAGTCTGTCCAAGGTTTTAAGTGATTCAGTGGATGGATCACTGTTCGTGGATGATTTTAATGCATCTTGTTGTGGTAAAAATATGCATACCATAGAGAGGCAGTTACAAATCTGTCTCAATAAAATTCATAAGTGGTCTCTCGAAAACGGGTTCAAATTTTCTATGTCTAAAACTAACTGTATACACTTCTGCAGAAAATATAAGCCGCATATAGACCCTGAATTATTTTTGAATGGCA